ATATCTTCCATAAGGCAGTCGGAGTACATTTCGCTAATCCGATTAATTATACGGCACGGACATTATAATCAACCTTCGATGAGGCTTTGTTTGAACCTAATGAGATTTTATACTCGGACCGTTTTTATTTGATTAAACACTTTCAGAACAATGTGATAAATTACCAAGAACTAAGCCAAGCTTAGGACTGACCCTTTGGAGCAAATTAATGAGACAGAACAGAGAACGAACATACGTGGGACATGTTTAATAATGAAAAAGGTTTTTAAGAGACGTTATGAAAATATACGTTAGTTACTAAATTACAAAAGTTGCAAAAAAATGCACCGAACATATTTATAAATATAACAGACACGATGGAAGTTTCACACGAAAGGCACGAAATACCTTACCCACAAAGTTTTTAATTAAAAATTGTTCTTTGTTTTGTAAACTTTAACGACAGCGAGATGAAGGCATACAAGATACTTACATGTACAGAAAAATCTAACTTTTTCAACACTAAACTCATACGTGAAATTACAAGCAGTAATGGCGACATACTGATAATTGTATCTACGGAGACAACATCTAGAGTAAAAATAAAGTTCGTATTACACCCGCAGAAGCTACTAAATCGATTTGAATTACACACTACTATTTGAGATCAACATTCCTCAAATTGAGAGACTAGTCAGCAAATAAATGTAATATTTTCTAATACGTTACATCCAGTTTTAGTAATTAAGTCATTAAAACATTCATTCGATAAAAATCATAACAAGTAAATCATATCCGAGTTCGGGTTAACAATAATTAATATAAACGTATAACGTGTGACACGCGAGCTTCAAATAAATATATTAATGAACCGACCATCTTTCGTATTTCCCTGGAATTTCTATTCACAGTAACGACAGGAAGGGTCCAGCTTCCTTCCGTCCCAGCCTTTATTGCGACTTCATTAGTTACAATGAAAAACATTTTTAACGTGATATACCAAGATATAGTCGCTTGATAAATGGGTCGAAAGGGAGGAATCCCCTCACAGCTGGCATATTTGCTGCTTATTACGTACACAAAGAATCCGAAGACTCTATTCGTACAACGCTGACACACGCCTCCATTAGGTAATTCCCGATACGGGACATTTTTCATAGCGATTTGAGTACACCTGTCACAGTTTGCCTTTCAGTGGAATTCTATATTTATACCTCTCAAAGGATACCTGGATGCTGTATTATTGCTACTCTTGTTTACATACTATACTTATATTATACTTTAAATTTATATTTAAAAAATACACTTAACATATAAGTATTGTTTGTTTTAAAAGTACTTGAAAAACTGATTATTAAAATTTTATTTAGGACATCTTTTTAAAGAAGATAAAAGTAAAGCAAAATCTACTTAGTTAACGCCAATTTTAACTCGCTAACAAAATGCGCTCAACACTTCGCTGGATTCACGAATAACAGAGAAAATCTGAGATAAACAAGTTAACAGTTTGAACATTAGCCAAGCTTTGTTAATATTGCAATTCCCCACGAAGACATAACACTTTTACTATAAAATAATTTGTTATTCACTTACGATAATCAACAATTTATTAAGTTTTGTTCAATTTTAACTGTAATGCATGATTTACATTCAAACTTCCTCAAATAGATTACACAAATGAGTTAATTAAATTTTATTTTTTGAATAAATGAAGCTGGATAACGAGATCACTATTATAATAAGGTTACATTTTCTAAATTCACAGCAGTTAACCCTAGATCGTTCAACAGGCAGTATGTTAGTCCGGGGTACAATGTGGCCATTCAGTGCAGAATGGCCGATACAAGGTCGAGTGGCCTTTGAGACCCCGAACGTGAGGCGAAACGCTAACCCGACGGTTAGCGGTTTTCTTTTATAAACATTTATTAGCCATACGGACGCTGGGGAATGTTTTTCTTGTATTTCAAATACTTTTTATAGCTTTGAATGCTAACCTACAATGTTCACACAGTTAAGGTATTGTGTTCAACATCTACACAATGTGAATTCTTTTTATAAAGAACTATGAATAATAATTGATAAATAACTTTATTATTCATTACCATATCCAACCTTAACACGACATAAAAATATCCGTTAGTTCAAAATCAACCAGAAAACATTAAATATCTGAGAACACAGCAAATAAACTGTTTGAATTTAAGAAAACATCTCTCCTACATGGCATGTAACAGTTTTTTATCATAATACACTCTAAAAACATTTTACATGTTGAGAAAATTTTGAGAAAACACGCAGCACTCAACCTAACTCACACATTTTTCTAACACAAACAAACCCATCACAACACAATAAGTGGTTTCCTTTTAGGGTTATCTCTCATATCTGATGTAATATATCGTTTGAAAAACTATGAAAAAATAAAAATTAAAATATATATAAGCAATATTTAATAATTACCGTTTTTTAATAATATTCACATGTGTTTAAATTTCTAATGTAAATGATGAGCTATTGTCATACATCCAAGTATTGTTTGCCATCGAACAGCACTTTGTTGGCTCCACTAAAGTATTAATAGAAACAAAGTTACACTATGAACCCATGGAGTGTGAAGTAACTTAGTACAAAGAGAACTCAATAGTAGGTTAACCATGTCATAACAAAAATAATTTCAAACAAAGCAAAGAAATATTTCAATATACATATGTACTTTCAATAATTTTCTTTTATTTGTATATTAAGTGATATTAAAAAAGTCGACGTATGTTCATACAACGAATAACATTTAGTTTCATATCACTTTGTTTCAGAGTCAATATTAACCCTAGAGTGGGCGCGCTATGAGCATTTTGCCGCCCGCGCTAAAAAACCGTTGATAATAATTAAAACAACTAGCCGTTAGACTTGTGCTTCTTAGTAGCTGCTTCCAATCTCATTACCAACATTTGCCTTAAATCTGGACACCGTCAGTGCCCGGGGGACTGCAGGAGAAGAAGGTATCTACTATCAGGTGTCGCCGGGCGGCAAATCGCTCACCGCGCGCCCACTCACGTAAGTAATATTTTATAATGCATTTTTTGTAAACTCGTAATGTTGACTATATTTTATGGTGCATTAATAACTTTTGCAACTAAAAATATATTTGTTTTAGGATTTCAAAGAATTGATTGAAAATAATAAATAAAAATGGATAAAATAGAAGATCAAAAGATTTGGTGGTATACCAAATCTTGAAAACCAAAGATCGGGCGAAACCATCTTCAATGTTTGGATTTGGCGACAGGAAAATGTTACTGTCTTATGTTCCAAATAAAAAGCAAAAGAAAATAGTATTGCTATTATCAACTTTGACCTGAAATGATAACATGTGCCAAACCTGAAATGATAACATTTTATAATAGTACTAAAGGTGGTGTTGACGTGGTTGACCAAATGAAGGAAGAATATTCTGTTGGGAGGATGACTCGCAGATGGCCAATGAGATTATTTTTTTAATGTTGAATATTGCCGGTATAAACAGTCAAATTATATACAAAGCCAATACTCTACATTTGATGCTACGTCGAGAATATTTGAAACAAATTGCCATGGTACTTGTCAAGCAATATATGACCACAAGGACTTCTATGGGCACTTTAAATATTTCTTTGAGGAACCAAATTGCTCGCTTTGTTGCAGTAGAACAAGGATCTTCTTCGAAATAGGAAGGCAAATGCAGTATATGTCCCTCAAAGAAAAACAGACGCACGAAAAAAGGGTGTTTCAGATGCCAAAAGTTACTGTGTAATGAACATTGTACATGTCTTTGTGAAGACTGTTTTGATAAAGCGTATCCTGTAGATTTAGAAAATATATAATTTTGTTATTTTTGTTTTATTTTTTAAGTATTAAAACGTATTATGTAGCTTAAGAGAAAAAAAGTCATTTAAATAGTAAGTTTTCTAAAGTCTTTTGTAAACCAAAGTTTATAGAACAAAGTTTAATAAATATGTTGATTTATTATAACTTACTGTTTATTTATTTAAATCCTAAAAGAAAAAATATTAAATTGCAGTATTACTAGTCAAAATAGTCAAAGAAAATGAGGCGGCAAAATGCTCCCCACGCGCCTACTGACGTTACGCAAAGAGACGCGCCCACTCTAGGGTTAAATCTTAATGAATTCTCAAACACCAAATAAAAATGGTATAAAATGTAATACAAACAAAAGTCTTTTATCTATATAATCCTGATAGAATCATCAAAACGTAATCACCTCATATTCACAGGTATATTTCCTGTAGAACGTCAAACAAACTCGGGTGACTCGCAAGTGTTTGGACACTCTCAGAGACTGGTACAGTGTTTGAACAGAACCCGCTTAGTTTGTGAAATGCTAAATTTATTCGCAATTCAGCAAACTTAGTTATTCTTCACGGAAGAACGTTATGCATAAGATTCAAAAATACAGGAATGAATAATGATTAAGGTAAGGATATAAATGCGTATATGTTTAATGTTAAACTGTACTTAAAATAATACTGAGAAAATAATAGTGTCACAAAATTTTTAACAACATAAAGTAACTTTTAAAAATGCTACAAATTTTCTCTCGAGATTTCTTAGATCTTTAATAGCATCGCGACTATTAATTGAATAAATTTTTCCTTAAAAAATATATATAAAGTAAAAACCAAAATTAATATTGTTTACTAATGGTCAAACTGTACTGACACAAAACCAAGTTAATGTACATTTAATAAGGAACACACGCTACATATTCTACAATAAACATAGTAACAAAGTTTATGCCTAGACCTGCAGTCATTAATCACCAAGGAAAACTTAATTGGACGGCAGTCGACAGGATGAACGGCCAACGCCAACAAATAAACTCAAGCTCACAGCTAATTCTCATTAAGACATTTTTAGAACGTCTTGAGGTTCACGAATTTAGTATTTACCTTGTTACAAGTCATAGTAATTACAACATAATGTTAGTACATATAAAACTAATAAAATAATGATTATATTCTAACCTGGCCATGGTTTTTGAAACCATGTCTTCTCGCGATGTCATCCGCGTGTTTCTCGCCAGCTGGTACATGGACAGCGAAATGATTGTGATACAGTGCTTTCGGTAAACATGAGCACATTTGAAGCGCGGCTAGCAGCGCCAGCGCACGCCATGACAGCACCATGACAGACACTTGGATGGACTATAAGGACATTAGCACCACAGCTATACGAATCCTCCTTGTTCCAGCGTCATATATCAAACTGATACAAAAATCCGTCTTGAGTTTGCTTCGAAGTGCCTGGAACAAAAAATGCTAATTAATATATCAGTAACGATAGTATCATCCCAATTAGAAGAATATCAATGAAATGCTGCAAACACACAGTTTATATGTAATATAATTATTTTTAATTCTCCTATCTCACATGTTCTATAGGTTAGTTTAGAGCTCAATAAACGTAAACATTATAATGGGAAATGAGGCGTAACACAAGCCAGATAGAAAGAAATAAGCGGGTGAACAAATGCGAACAATTTAAAAAAAATCTGGAGGAAATCCCGAGCTAATCCAGATAAGCCACGCGGGTAAAGTACAAAAAGCCTGACCGTGAATATATCAAAAATATTTATGAAATTTTATTTAGGAATTTATCTGACGTTGGAGACGGGCACGTCGGGCATGTTCCTTTCATGTTGCTCCTTTGGAAGTATAATCGTTTGGACCGATGAATATTAGAAGCAATATCAAGATAATCAAAGACCCTTCAAGATGAATCGAATGTTATCGCTACCGGTCATACCACATCGAAGAGGATCACTTCCTCAAGCCTTGCTAGTACAAAAAATATATACTCACTAGATAACATAGTTATTAAATTAAGTTATTATATTCATTTCATAAATATATTTACTTAACATCAAAATTAATACGAGTATCAATATATATAGGTACTTATAATATTTCCTAAATCCGAAGGAAATTAACAGAATTTTTATTTAAATTCAAAACGTGTTCCTCTGAGATACACAAAGATCATTTCGATTTTCATTAATGCAGGATCGAGAGGGATTACATCTTGATAACAGTTGCTACATCTCTTGGAACGGATTAAGGAAAATTATTGCCAAAAAATGAAGCCTCTGATCCCTGACGTTTATATAGTAATGAAATTTAAATCTTTTAAAAATTAAACACACCACGACTATGGGTAATACTTTTGATGGACACACGATGTATTGTAGTTGAGATATCATAAATTTTTATATTATTTAAACGGCCTCTTCTGTACTAAAAATGTCACATTTTCACCAAACACCTTAATAGTTCTGTATTTAACCAAAAATTTAAGAATGATCTAGATCATTATTAATTAGACTAATTCTACTATCATTTTTATCAGACACACCTATAACAGTACCTATGCGTTGAATATTTAAAAAAACCGCAACATATAAAAAAGCACAGTTCATAAAGGAAAAACATTAACCATATCTTAAAATATAGTAATAATATTTACAACTAATTACTACTTTCTGTTAGCTAACATTATAATAACATACGTATTTCTAAATAATATAATTTAATTTTTCTATAAATGTTTTGAAAAGGGGATATCATAGTATATATTTTACCAGAATTTATGTACTATTACTGCATAATACTGCATATTACTGTATAATACTGCAATAATTAGGAATTATAAACAACATAATCACGCACATTCGAAGATACAAGGCGACTGAAAGAAAAATAATCTCCTGTATCAATGTATTATATTTTTACAATATCCAATTATGGTAGAGGCTTATTTTAAACGTGAATTCAACTCATCGACGCTGACCGGGTAACATTTAAAAGGTACACGTGCCCAAATTAATTCCAAGTGATCGAAGGGATAATTCCATTAGGGGCGAGCGATTGAGGAGACGAAATATTTACGACTTAATAACCGACCACCGTGTATTTATATCCGACAGATTTTTTAAAATCCCCTCGCATACTGAAATTTCAATTAGATTTTTGTTGTTTTTTTTCCTCTTTGGCGATTTAAAAATTTTGTTTTAGAATTTTTATTGTAATAATGGGATAGATAAACAAAATAAATAATTTTAGTAGCAAAATGTTAAAGTAAAATTTTAAATTTAAACTATAGCACACACCTTTTTATTTAATTTTTTAATACAAGAGGCGTAAGAGTGCTTCATGAAAATAGAGTAATTTAAATAGTTTCATGATTTTTCTAAGGTTAAGCTGAATTTAAATTTAATAATGCATAAAACCAAAACGAACCAACAAAGTTTATAACAAAACAAGTTTCAATATAAAACTCAATATACATATTATACGACATTGGTCTCACTTTAAATTTAAACATAGTTCACGGGAGAAGTTCCATACTATTGCGGAACGGAGGATTATATGAAACAACTGAGGCAATTTGTTTTGTAATCTAAAAACAGGATTCAGAATTCAACCATAAAATACGGTTTGTCTAAATGGTCTTCTTCCAACTAACACTAGCGCAAAGCCAAGCAAGCTTAGCTTGTAATTGTTGCATAATGCATAGCGAATGGTAATAGGTTCAGTTTTTGGCGCACAGAGTTTAAAAGTTTTTATATGATACATTTTAACTATCAGATAAGGTTAAAGGAATCAAATGATTAGATTATTGATACGATTTATGAGTTAGAAAATTAAGAAATATAATTTTAACCATTAAAAATATTAGCCACGATGAAACAGTAACAGATAAATATAGGTGTTTTTTCACAAATTACTTTAATTTTCCATTAAAATTTAGAAACATGAAGCGAGAAAAGAGATGAGGTGATTATCATAATTAATTCAGGAAAACCCGAAGACGGGTCGTTTAATAGAAAGACAGGAGACAGAAGGCTTATTTAAGCAGCACTTGGGCTTTATTAACTTGACAAGTAAAGTGGCGTTTACATAAAATCTGTAGGACTTCATTTGTTACTTAAGAGACGAAATATCGATGGGGATATATTAATTATAAGGATTTATTTTTATCTCATACAATGTACGTTTATTATATATAGTTTCATAGTGGTAAAAGAATATTAACATGATAACTCGAAGATTTTAGTTCTAATTCTGCTGGCATTATAGCATTATATTTATTTGTATTGCAAACTATATAATCAGACTTGCGATATATAAAAAGTATTATCGATATCAATACGACCGCATCAAATAAGGTATCATATTGGACTGCATTTCCACCAATCCAACGTCCAGCGTCCAACGAAACACTAAATTACATACTAATTTCCCTCCAGTCTATCAATCGAATACATGCTAGGGTATAAATCAAGGGGATTAGGCACGCAACGTCTTCGTATCGATGGAACAGAGAACCGATGGTGACGGCCGAAGCAATGAAACATGTACATAGTTCTGGTGCACCAATTATACATATATAACCGATAGACACTTCAAATATCTTCATACATATATTAATATTATTGCAAGCAAAAATATTAACTCATTTACATATAAAGAACATGAAAGCGTACAATATTTCGAAATTTATGTTGATGATTATTTTTTCCAGCACACTCTGAATAAATGAAATAGAAGCATATGAAAAACAATATTAACTATGCACATATTAAATTTACAAACTAAACAACGAAGACCAAATAGAATTCAAGCCGGCAAAATACAGGTATTTGCATAAAAAAATGCTCCATCTAAAAACTCACGCATCCGAATCATAAACCAGGACTGGCGGATCATTTTATTTCAAAACTCTTTAAGATTTCCGAATCTATATGATCTATAATTTCAAGTCATTATTTTTAAGGCATTCAGTTTTCTTGTATGTTTTACTACAAGTTTACGCCTCGTAGTAAACAGTCGACTCTATCGATATAACTTTGTCATCCCTTGATGTCGATAAATTCTTTGGCGTCCAAATCTCACCAGCGAACACCTCAATAATTACCGAGTCATTGGCAGCACTCGAGCATCACGCCATGAATAAAACATACCCTGTGGCACTACACAACGGCTAACATAACTTGATCCTAGAAATGATGTACGTCAGTTGATAACACAGGTCATTGTAACTGAATGAGAAGCCAAACCACTATAGGTATAGAAGACAAACACGACCTAGGTAAACTTACAGTCGAGTACAAACAACACATGCCATAAATAGGATTAATATAGGAAAGGCTGTATAAGTGGACCCTTGAATTAAACAGTCTCTATGTACTCGACACAAGTTGATTAGACTAAAATACTTTTGTTAAATTGAATTGTAACTAAACATATATAAGACAAAGTTTAAACGCTACAAAGTAGATAACGGTTTCATTAATATTCAGTGAAAAAATTCATAGCAACCCTAGAGACAAGGAGGTATAAATGAAAAGAAAATACATCGTTTATTTAAACAGGAGATGAATAAATTTTAAAGTTAATATAGAACGCCAACAAAGAGGGAACAATTGAAAATAAAATAAAATGAAAATACATAAGTATGTGTTTATTTGAGGAGAACTCTAAGGCGACAACATTGGCACGACCTCGCACTAACAGAAATATAATGCATTTTCAATGAGTGTCGAACTTTCAAAGAGAGTCGTGCATTATGACGAAGAAAAAGAAACAAACAATATAACACTTCAACTTTTATATCATAAAAATACTTATAAATTTCCATTATTGTAAAAGATTTATATTTTCAAAACCTATACTTAAATTTAAATAGAAAAAAAGCATATAAAGTTACAAAACGAAATTCTGAAAACGGATAATTCCTTTTACTCTGATTCGTAGCATGTCGTAAAACAAACTCAAATATCTCTTCTAAAGTTGTATCAATGTGTTATAAAGTGAAATTCACAGGTAAAAGGAAATGTTCGCTCCGTGAAACCTTCAGAACAACAAATAAGTGAAAAACATCACGTAATTTGGGACCATTGAAAACTTGAAAACGTGGACGAGACATTTAACGTTAAACATGCTTTTACTCATTCAAACTTTAGAAAATGTTTTTATACACATCGAACAGCAATTACATTTTAAATAGAAACAAGTAAAGAGATAGGGTTTGAAGCGCATTTTACTGTTACAATTTATTTAGTTTGAGCTTTTATTCTAATTTTATAAAACTAACAAATAATCTATACATATAATAAAATTGTAGAAAA